CCTTTTTTTTTTTTTTTTTTTTTGAGACAGTATCTCACTATGCAGATCAAGCTGGCTTTGAGTTCACTGTGTAGGCCTGGCTGGCCATGAATTCATGGCAGTCTTCCTGCCTCAGTCCCCTGCTGGAATTACAGATGTGCACCAGCACACCCAGCAACTGTTTTCATTCTAATCCATGTTGCATATTGAAAAACTAATATTCAACCAGACTCACACCTGTAATCCTAGCTACCCAGGAGACTGAGGCAGGAGGATTATAAAATCAAGGCTAGTCTGGGAAATTTTGTGAGTCCGTGTCTCAAAATAAGTAAGAAAGGGCTAGGGTATAGCTCACTGTTACAGTGCTGGCTTAGCTTCCATGAGGCCCTCCAGGGGTTGGGGGCAGTCTTCCTTAGACTTTAATTTTGTGATCATGATCTGTCATCATCTTCTTATTTTCTCTTACTTATATCTTAATTTCCAGGATTTCCACAACCTTGCCTAATAGTACTCATCCAACTTTATATGCAACTTATACATGTACAGAGCTTATCTTTGGATGTAACATATCTTTTCCTCCCCATCCATACATGGTGACTATATTCTACCTTTCTCCATATGTTCAACCTACATTACTTCTCTCTCTCTCTTTGGTACCGGGAACCAAACTCAGGGCCTTGCACTTGCCAGGCAGGCGCTGTGTCACTGAGCTATGTCCCCGATACTACAATACTTCTCTTAGCCTACAAATCTTTTCTTCATTCTACCATCTAAAACCATTCTCTAAGGCCTGATTCAACTCACCTTTCTTGAAATCTTTCCTAACAACTCTGTCATTAATGTGCCTTTATTTAATTTTTGTAACAATTTTATTCTCCATTGCACATAGCATTTATTTTATGTACTATGATGCTGTCTATGTGTATTAGTTTTATTTCCTCAACTAAAAAGCATTCTCAGGGCTGGGGATTTAGTTCAGTGGTTCTGCCGCCTACCTTGCAAGCACAAGGTCCTGAGTTCAATTCCTGGTACCAAAGAAAAAAGCATTCTCTGAATTTCTAAGGACAAGACCCATATGTTGTATTTGGGCTATTCTCCTGTCTCTCCCTGAGATATACAGCCATGTATGCACATAAAACCAAAACATACTGTATAAAGTATTCAGTAAACACTGTTTTTTTTAGGAGTCATCAGAACAGGCTGAGTTTTCTTACATACTTTCAAACTGTTTTTTGAGGAACCAGAGCCGATTGAGGTTAGCTCAGTTAGCTCATCAGGAAGGTGAGGAACTAGGTTTAGCACAGGATAGCCTTTAAAGTAAATACCAGAAATGAGCCTGAGAAGCATAGTATTGGGGAGTTTTGTATGAGCCTGAGATCACTGTTCCAGAAGTCTTTCTGCTGGGCAGGAGATGTAGCTCAGTGGTAGAGCATTTGCCTATTATACTAGCATGCCCAAGGCTCTGAGTTTGATCCCTAGCAGCCAATAAGAAAGAAAGAAAAGAAATCTTTCTGCCTTCTCCCTGCCCTTAGCTGCCCCTCCTGAGTTGTGATTTTGTGTGTGCCCTTTCTGAAGCACTGCAAGCATAAAAAGGGTGATACACTTCTACTACTCCAGAATGGAGAGAAAGTGGCTTTATCGTTAGCCAAGCAAAGCTGCACAAGAACCTTTTAAAACTATTTTGGGAGGTAGTGGTAGCCTTTCTAAACACTGATTCAGAAGAGGTTTTGTTTAAGTTAAAAAAAAATAATGTGTTGGGCCGGGGATTTAGCTCAGTGGTTCCTCTGCCTGCCTTGCAAGTGCAAGGTCCTGAGTTCTATTCCTGGTACCAACAAAAACAAAAAATATTGTGTTGTTTCCATGGAAAATCCCACTGGGCCATTTTATCATGCAAGAAGGATTGATTTTGACTACTGTTCTCACTTCTTAAATATAATTTAGGACTGGGCATATAGTTCAGTGGTAGGGCATTTGCTTAGGGTTCAATCCCTGGCAAGGGCTGGGCCCTGGATATGATCCACAGGTTTGACCTCTAGCATTTCAAATATAGATATAATATATAAAAAATAATCTATTACAAAATATATTATCTATTATATGATATATTGATTATATATTACATAATTTAAGTTTTATTCTGTCATTCAGCCTAGTTGTTTGGAGTAGGTAATGAATCTCTGAAGTAATTAAGAAAGGAAAATCATCATAATCGAGTTAGGACATCAGGCATGGTGGCCTACACATCTGATCCCAGCACTTGGAGGCAGAGGCAGGTGGATCACCTCAAATTTGAGTCTAGCCTGGGCTACATAGTGAATTCAAGGCCAGCCTGAACTACATAGCATATATCTGTCTCAGACACACACACACACACACACACACAAAGAGGAGAGGATCAGGGAACAAGATTCAGCTCTAGAAAGGCAGAGTGAAGAGAGAGAAGCTCAAATTTTAAATTCATGTTGCTTGAAAAGTTTCCATGGATTACCAAGGCTCTTTGTCTCCTTAAGAGCAGAGGCACTATGTTAGGAAAAAGATTTGCACAACCCCTGTGGGGATATTTTGGTCGGTAAGTATAAATCCAAATATCCTGGTTTCCGGAATTTGCTCTGGGCCCAGGTCTCTCTGTGAATTGAGTCCTATTGTTTGCAGTTTCCTTTTCTAACTCCTGATATTGCTTTCATGTTCCTTAGCCCCTATATTTGCCTGGAATGCCTTCAGACAGTAATAGACCTATACCTCTGTGACCACTGGAAGACAGGCACCATTTCTTATGGTAGCTTTAGCATATCTAACTCAACCATTTGGTTTTCTCTCTCTCTCTCTCTCTTTCTTTATTTTATTTGTTGACACAAGGTCTTACTATGTAGTTCAGGCTGGCCTTGAACTCACTGAGTAGTCCAGGCTAGCCTTAAACTCACAGCAGTCCTCCTGCCTCAGCTTCCTGAGTGCTGAGATTACAGTCTTGTGCCACAACACCTAGCTTGGTCTTCAGTTTCTTCTCTTCATCAGATATTAACATCCATGTGCTTATTCGTACTCACTTCAGATGTAGCAGGGAGTAAGTTTAAAAAGAAAGCATTGCTTAACTGTATGCTACTTATAGAACTTATATAGTACTTATAGAAAAACCCAGCATGGGTGGTTTTCTTTGGAGACGGGGTGGTAAAGGAAGCAAAATGAGTGCTGAGAGAAAGGTAGGTAATGGAAAGTCACACAACAAAACACTGTCCTGTCTTCCCCCACTGGCCTCAGGAAACACAGCACAGGCACCCTCTGCTGGCCTAGCACCAGCCTCCATCTGCTGCAGCTCCTGAAAAGCAAATTTGTCCTAACACAGACCCTCTATTTCCAAATAAAAATGCATTTTCTATGTACTCTCAAGCTTTAATTTCAGATCAAAACTAAAACAATTTCTTTGTCTTTTCACATCTATAGATCAAACTCCTACTCCAACTAGATTCCTCAAGAACTGCGAGGAGGTGGGGCTCTTCAATGAACTAGCCAGCTCCTTTGAGCATGAATTCAAGAAGGCTACAGATGAAGATGAGAAAAAGGCAAGAAGTGGGACTTTTTTGTTTTTGAAGCAAAACCTTTCTTGATGCATTTTAGATGTACTTAATGATAACATTCATCATAGGGAATTTGTACCTGTACATGGTAGATGTCTTGCTTTTTTTCCCATCCCCCCTTGACCCCTCTTCCCCTCCTTATTTTATTTATTTGTTTATTTGTTTATTTATTTATTTTTGGTACCGGGGATCGAACTCAGGACCTTGTGCTTGGAAAGCAGGCAGCAGCACCACTGAACTAAATCCCTGGCCTTTTCCTTCCTTATTTACAAAAGCTTTGTTTCCATTTTTTCCTTCTGGTCTCTTTTTTTCCCCTTGTTCTTCCTTTCCTTTCCCCTTCTGCCCTCCTTTGTTCCCTTTCTCATTTGAACATTTTCTTCCCATTTTCCAATATCTATTATACATTTTGGTCCTTATTTCTGCTTTCGGTTTCTCACACTAGAGAAACAGTGTGGTATTAATCATGTGTGTTCAATTTATCACTAGAAGTGGTACTTTTATACACACACACACACACACACACACACACGCACACCATTGGTGGTATTCAGACCTACATTATTTTTATAGTATCTTGAAATAATTTAATTGCTTAAAACATAAAAATCATAGGGCCAAGGATTTAGCTCAGTGGCTCGGCCACCTGCCTCACAAGCACAAGGACCCAAGTTCGATCCCCGGTAAAAAACAAAACAAAACAAAACATAAAAATCATGGCAGTGGTTCCGTAGAGCCAGATAATACTAATCTTAGTCAAATATCTAGGTTTTTAGGGGATCCAGATGATGGATCAGTACAGTTCTGTCTTCACCAAAAATCAGTCCTCTTGCTCTCCAATGTAGTATTATATCAATAATCTGTTTTTGAAAAATGAGTTGGGAAATGTGATGCATATCTGTAATCCCAGCTACTTGGGAGGCTGAGGCAGGAGGATCACAGTTTCAAGCCCAGTCTGGGGAATTTAGCAAGACCCTATCTCAAAAATAAAATTAAATATTTAATTGCAAAACCTTGGGTTCAATCCCCTGTACTCTCCCCCACAATAAATAAAAAAGTTTAAGCCTTTCCCATAGCCAATTTAGCTTAATTGACATCTCTGGAAGGCCAGTTCATAGCTGATGAGGCCTTTTTTCCATGGGTATCCCTTGGTGTTTCTTCCTGCCTGCCTGAGTGGTCTTCACCTCCTCTTGATGAGAAGCACAGGCATAGTATAGTATTGTCTCCAGGAATATTTAATGCCTGAAACTCCGCTGAACCACAGCTTTTCTTTTTTGGCATTTTGAGACAGGGTCTCACTCTGTAGTTTATGCTGGCCTTAAACTCACTGTGTAGCCCAGGCTGGTCTCAAACTTACATCGATCCTCCTGCCTCAGCCTCCTGAGCACTGGGATTATAGGCATGCATCACTGTGCCCAACTGCTGAATCACAGCTTTTCTAGGTGGCCCTTGGAGATTTTAAATTTCTGTTTATATTTATGGAACCTTTTCCTTCCCACCAATCTCTGATTTCAGAGATTGAAAAATTAGCTAAATTGGGCCTCACATCTTAGCAATATTGAAAAAAAGTAGGCAGAAATGAAACCATGTTTGCCACTGCCCTCTCTCATCAACTGGCAGAAAAAGAACCATTACTACCTTCTTTAATTGTCTTATCTTTCGTTTACTCAGACAGCTGCCCAAAAGCCTTCTAGGGATTAAGTTAACAAGGAAAGAAGTTGAAACAGAATCCCCTTTCACAAAATGCCTAACATACAGGAAGAATAGAACAAAGAGTCCACTTTGTCATAAACCAAACTATTGTGGTGTGGTGTCAGAGCAATTATCTCAGATCGTTTACTGTTCCCTGAAAAGCCATTCACAGCTCCACAGTTCTGTAAGGTGATTCTCCATTGCCAGGAAGATACACTCTCTACTTACTGGCTTCTCCAGGCTTGCTCCAAAGACCAAGTTCTAATTTCTTCACTGATCAGATAATCAGCCTTTTCTTATTCTATTGACCCAGAACACTATCTATTTCAAATATCTACCCCCTCAGCAGCAGATTTTAGGGTGAGATAATCATCAAGCATGGTGAGTTCCCCGAAAAGACCTTTCCTATCTTTTGTTGTTGTTGTTGTTGTTGTTGTTGTTGTTGTTGTTTTGAGACAGGGTCTCACTATGTAGTTGAGACTGACCTGGAACTCACTGTGCAGCCCAGGCTAGTCTCGAACTCACAGTGATCCTCCTTCCTCAGCCTCCCGAGTGCTGGGATTACAGGCATTCACCACCACACCTGGCAACCTTTCCTATCTTGTTTGTAGTACTGTAATAGCCAGTTTGTCTTCATTGGCTTTTTTTTTTCTTTCTTTCTTTTGGGGGGATACTGGGTATTGAACTTGGGTCCTTCTGCTTGCAAGGCAGGTAGCAGCACCACTGAGCTAAATCCCCAGCCCTTCATTGGCTTTTTTTTGGGGTGGGTACCAGGGATCCAACTCAGGTCCTTTTGCTTGAGAGGCAAGCAGCAGAACCACTGAGCTAAATCCCCGGCCCCCTTCATTGGCTTTTGATAATTGGTTGATCTAGTCATTCTGGTTGGCAGAGAAAGTATTCACAGTTCTATACAGTGATTCGCCACTACAGGTGGCCCCCAGGAGAGCAGGTTGGAAACCAGCAGGCCCTTGATTCAGGAATCATTTTATTCCTGAACAAGATGGTAACCAAAATACTTGTATAATATCTTTTTTGTCTGTTTTCAAGTCTTTTCAAGTATTTACTTATCATCATTATCTTTATTTTACAGTTAGGGAAACAGAAGCTCTTGGAAGAGCAAAGGATTTGGAGAGGGTTACACGTAAAGCATAGGTCACACATTTCTGTGACTGCAGTTCCGTGCTTTGACCACGGGCTGAATGTCTTAGAAGCATATGCCCTTGTCTTATAACTAGAAAGATATAGGTTTAATCTGAAGGGAATCATGAGCTTAAATTCTGTTCATTCTCTTTCCTTACAGGGAGCTGCTGGGCCCCTGGACATGTCTCTGCCTTCCACCCCAGACATTAAAATCAAAGAAGAGGAGCCAGTGGAAGTGGACTCATCTCCACCTGACAGTCCTGCCTCCAGCCCCTGCTCCCCACCACTGAAGGAGAAGGTAAAATTCTCTACAAGGAGGCATCACAAATGTTAATTGATAGAGTGAGTTTTGATTCATAAATAGTGTAAGACATAGGAGGATTGACTGTATTTACTTATTTGTTTTGACACAGGGTCTTGCTAAACTGTCTAGGTTGGGCTCATATTTACAGTCCTCTTGCCTCTCAGCCTCTCAGAGTGCTGGGGTAATTATTATTCTTTTTATTATTATTTTTTTTTTTATCAGAGATCAAACTCGGGACCTTGCCCTTGTGAGGCAGGCAGTGACACCACTGAGCTAAATCTCCAGACCTCGGAGGGCTAGAATTACAAGCATGTTAAATTAAAATTTTTCTTTTACCCCGCAGTTCTACTTCTGAGTCCAAATAGAACAGAAATTAGTGCATATTGTATACCAAAAGAAGTTTGTAAGAATGTTCATAGCTATTGTTTTCATAAGAGCCAAAAACTGGAAACATTCCAAATGTCCATCAACCAAAGAATGAACAAATTGTGGGAGTCTGGGAGCATAACTCAGTGATAAAATACCTGCTTAGTATGTGCAAAGACTAAGATTCAATCCCAGCACAATGGATGGGTGAATGTGTATTTCTAAAATGGAATACAATATGACATTAAATAAGTATGAGGCTGGGTGTGGTAGTATATGCCTATAATCCCAGGACTCGGGAGGCTGAAGCAGGAAGATTGCAAGTTTAAGCCCAGCCTGGGCAATTTAGCACATTAGCAAGACTCTGTTTCAAAACATAAAAAGGGCTGGGGATGTACCTCAGTGCAAAGGGCCTGGGTTCAATCCCAAACAAAAACCAGCGAACTGGACTGATGTAGCTGAGACATAGAGCACTTGCCTCTACCCTCTGCAAAGCCCTGTGTTAGATCCCCAGTACTGCCGAAGGAAAGGGGGCAGGAGTGAACTAATGATTATATAGCAATGTGATTAAACCTTGCAAACATATTGAACACTAACAACAAAAAAAACCACAAAGTACATATTATATGATTTCATTTATATTAAGTTCAAGAAGGGCCAGGGATTTAGCTCATTGGCACTGCGCCTGCCTTGCAAGCACAAGGTCCTGAGTTCAATCCCTGGTACAAAAAAAAAAAAAAAAGTTCAAGAAGATCAAAAGTATTGGATGATAGAACCCTGAACAGTGTGTGTACTAATCTAGATGTGGTGGCACACACTGCTGCTAGTCCTAGCTCTTGAAATGCTAAGACAAAAAGATCACCTGAGCTCTGGAGTTCAAGATCAGCTTGAGCAACAGCAAAACCCTCTTTCAAGGGAGGAAAAATGAATAGTGTGTACCTTTTGTGAAGGAAAGGCATGGACCCTGGTATGGTATATTACTGTAATCCCAGAACTCTGGAAGGCTGAGACAGGAAGAGTGAAAGTTCAGGCCCAGCTTGGGCAATTTAGTAATTTAGTGAGACCCTGTTCCAAAATTTTTTTAAAAGAGAGGGAGGCAGCTGAAGATGTGTCTCAGTGCAATGGCCCTGGATTCAATTTGGAGTTCTCCTTGTTCTGAGAATGAAAGAAATAGAAGAAAGAGGTGGGGAGGGGAAAAAGAGAGAGAAAGGGAGGACTGAGAAAGTACACAAGAGAACCTTAAGTTAGACATTAATTTAGTAAACAGTCTTCTCAGAGAGAAGTAACTCAAAGGGAGTATCTACTAGAGTAATCACTAGGATTCTGACTACTATTGTTTTTATTGCTTTTTAAAAAAACTAATATATATTCAGTTGCTTTTATTACTTTTTTTTCTGTACTGGGGATCAAACTCGGGACATTGCGCTTGCGAGGCAGGTGGTAGAACCACTGAGCTAAATCCCCAGATGTTTTTATAACTTTTTAAAGAACGCTTTAAATGAAATATTTTTAGAAATTTATTAAAGTATAGTACATATACAGAAAAGTACAAGCCGGGCATCATGGCACACGCCTGTAACCCCAGCACTTAGGAGGCTGAGGCAGGAGGATCTCTGTGAATTCAAGACCAGCCTGGGCTACATAGTGAGTTCCAGGTCAGTCTCAACTACCTAGTGAGACCCTGTCTCAAAAAACAAAACAAAACAAAAAACCTAAACAAACTAAATACATATATAGCTTACTTAATTTTGACAAAGTTAAAAGCCTTTTGGCTATTAACCTAGATTTTAAAAAAAACCAGAACTTCAGAAGCTTCCTTAGGTCTCCTTCCAGGCTCTACTGCTCTACCGGTGCATATTAATTTTAACATCTGTTGTAGATAGAACATCTGTATCTCATCTTCCCTGCAAATTTGGCTTGATAACTTGTCAAAGCTACCTTTCCATAAACATTACAGCTTTCTTATCAGCAGCAAGGTCTTACAGATGATCTGGAGATACTTTGAAAGCCATTATGGCCACAGGCAGTCTAAGACGCTGACAAATTAAGCGGAAGAATCTCTTTGTTCATTGCAGTGTGGTCAGTGCTCAAGCTTCCATAGGTCTTTTTTTGGTAAATGCTTTATAGGTGATAAACTGGGTTTCCTTGTTACCAGTATAACTGTCTCTTCCCCTTGGAGTCTAAGGACACCTGAGCATCAACTGGGAGGAAGAGTGTCTAAATTGTGAAAAATTACAACAATCCCTCAAATTATTGATACTGTATTACATACATCTCCAAAGATTTCAAGTTATTTCCCAATTGTCATCTCATTTATGTAGCCATCACGCCTGAAAGGGAAATGGGTAAAGAGTTGAACTCAGAATTCCTACTGAATACGTGAGTGAAGTATGAGCACAGGATCACTGTGGAATCAGGTTGTGATTTACATAAGTGACTGTAATGTTCTTTCGAATAAACTTGCAGTAAGTTCTACTAGCTACTATATATATTTTTCTATAAATAGTAGCCCTTAAAGCATTATGATTTGTTGGTCTCTTCTCCTCAGGAGGTTGCCCCAAAGCCTGTTGTGATTTCTACCCCGACACCCACCATCGTTCGTCCTGGCTCCCTGCCTCTCCACTTAGGCTATGATCCACTTCATCCAACCCTTCCCTCCCCAACCTCTGTCATCACACAGGCTCCACCATCTAACAGGCAAATGGGGTAAGTAAAGAGCAGGGAGGAACAGTGAAGCCTGAATTTTTTTTAACTTTGTGAAATTATTTGATAAGATACGAATGGTTTTTTGAATACCCAAGGAAAATAAGTTAACTAAGATTGTTCTTCAAAATAAATATTTAGAGGGCCAGGGATTTAGCTCAGTGGTTCCGCCACCTGCCTTGCAAGCATAAAGACCGGAGTTCGATCCCTGGTACCAAATTAAAAAAAAAAATAAAACAAATATTTAGAGCTAAGGATGTAGCTCAGTGATAGAACACTTGCCTCAAGGCCTGGGATTTAGCTCAGTGTGGCGCCATGCCTGCTTTGCAAGCCCAAGGTCCTAAGTTCAATCCCCATACTGGGTGGGAAAAAATAGAACACTTGCCCAGTATATGTGAGGCCTGTTTGATCTCTAGCACCACAAATAAGTAAATAAATAAATAATTCCCTGTAAAAAGAATCTCCTTTAGCTTTTTTAGTAGTTAAGCACATACTTATTTGGAGATAATACATCTGTAATTTGGAGGTGTAATACTTCTTTAATCTAAAAAAGAAGAACCCTTAAAACTTTTAGAAGTTCATCACAATGGTGTAGGTCACACAAGGAAGTATATTTAGTTCTCAGACTCATTCCTTTGGAGAAAATGAAAGGCTGAACCTTTAACTTAGCTTCTTTGAATCTAGTGTTCTCAGTCCCAAGTTACGGTTCTTGGTCTTTGCTACCCCTAATTTGTTTATATATCTGTCTTTCCTCCTGGCATGATCCATACAAGTTTTCTTATGGGATGGCTTGAGATCCCCAGGTACCCACAGGTTAAGACCTTGTTATCAGGATTCAGCTTCTTAAAGCTTATTTTTCACAAGGGGAAAAAATGAGAACCAAGACCTGGCATGTAAAAGTACAAGATCCCAATAATGAATGTAAATGTACTGTCTACCCAAAATGTACCAATAAACTCAATTTTTTAAAAAAAAAGCTTATTTTTCTCTGGATCCACTAGGAAAATAAAAAAAGAACTTCTCTCTTGGACATAAAAGCAAAGAATAGAGAAGAACAAGAGAAACTTATTTAGATTTGACCATTGTATGATTCATCTTTGTAAAATGACAACTCTGATCTAGCTTCCCCTTGTCTAAGGCAAGATAAAACTTATACAGGCCAGTGGTAGGGATGTTTAGTTAATTGTTTTAAACCCTTAAGAAAATTATTCTTCTTGCTTAATTGGCAAGGTATAGAATTTTCCATGCTGGAAGTATAGCTCTGTGGTAGAGTACCCTCCAGGCCCTGGGTTCTGTCTCCAATACCACCAAAAAAAAAAA